GGCTACTCTAGAGTAAGCCTTGAGTAAATCAGAAGAAGGGAGCAAGGCTTGGCTTCTGTCTAGGAAGGCTGGAGGGATGGAGGAGGGATGCTCTATGGCCCTTCTCTCTTTCCAAGCGCCTTTTCCTCTCTCTTTGGAGGGTGAGGTGTGCTGCTCAATAAATTAATAATAATAATAATAATAATAATAATCTTTATTTATATCCCACTTTATTCCCAACATTGGGACTCCAAGTGACTCACGAACAGCGCAACTAAAAAAAAGGGACAAAATAGAATGAAGTGATTGCATTGGTTGTTGTTTTGTTTTTTAAATAATTTTTATTGTGCAATTTACAAAATAAATCAACAAATTATTCTTCATCATTTCTATCACCAAGAATATAAATTATTTTATTATTATTATTATTATTATTATTATTACAAAAAGTGACAAAATAGAATTAAGTGATTACAAGGTTACAACAGATCATTTGTTTAAAATTGGGATACAGTTAAGAGGATCAAAAGATTTATAAACCATACCCTTTTAAAGAATACGGCGCTCCCAGGACCTTCTTTTAAAACTTGATGTTTTAAAAGCCTGTCTGAACAAAGGGTCTTAGCCTGCCAAGTGAAGCAAACAGGTTCGAATTAAGGGTGCGTCTACACTGTAGAAATAATGCACTTTGATACCACATGTAGCTCCATCCTGTGGAATCCTGGGATTTCTAGTTTTACAAGGTCTCTAGTCTTTCCTGCCCAAGAGTACTGGTGCCTCTTTGTTGCCACACACCTTCCAGCTGTTTCCGACTTATGGCAGCCCTAAAACAAAGCTATCATGGGATTTTCATGGCAAGATTTGTTCAGAGGGGGCCTTCCCCTGAGGCTGAGAGAGTGTGACTTGCCCAGTGGGTTTCATGGCCAAGCAGGGAATTGGACCCTGGTCTCCAGAGTCTCAGTCCAATGCTCCAACCATTATGCCACGTTGGTGACCCTAAGTGAAGCCTTTCACAAGGTTTTCTTGGCAGGATTTGTTCGGAGGAGGGTGGCCTTTGCCTCTGGCTGAAGCTGAGAGTGTGTGACTTGCCTAAAGTAATCCAGTGGGTTTCCATGGCCAGGTGGGGGTTTCAAACCCTGGCTTCCAGAGTCATGGTCCAGTGCTGAAACCACTTCACCAAACTACAAATACCCAGACTCTGTAGGACGGAGCCATGGCAGTTTGAAAGTGGTGTCAAACTGCATTATTTCTACAGTGTAGATGCACTCCTTGACAATACTATGAAGTAGGCTAAGACTGTGACAGCGATTTGCCAAAAAGTCCATCAGGAAAATTCATTTCAATGACATTTTAGGGTCCGCAGCTGCCTCTGTGCCCCAGTTTGCAACCTTGGCTTTTTATAGAAGAGAGTTGGTTTTGGACTACAAGTCTCGAGTCCCAACTGAGTAGGAGACCGACTGGGTGACCTTGGCCGAGTCACACTCTCTCAGCTTCAGAGTAAGGCCATGTCAAAAAAAAAACCCACCCCTTCAGAAGAAATCTTTCCAAGGCCACCCTTAAGCTCTTAGGGTTGCCATAAGTCAGAAACAATCTGGAGGAACATAACAACAAGAACCACCTTCTTGCTGCAATGCTTCCCTGTATCCCTGGGATTCCCAACTTTTCGTTTATAGAAACTCCGTCCCTCTCTAATTTACAAATAAAGATCTGACGGGATTTTGCTGGCTGGGCAAGTGAACCACACAGCGGAGTTTTATTCCTATTGAAAAGAAGGAAGGAAGGAAGGAAGGAAGGAAGGAAGGAAGGAAGGGGGGATGGAGGACATCAAGAGCAGCAGGATTGCTTCAGCTGTATGCTAATCCCAGCACCTGCCCTTTAAAAAGTCTGTCTTTCTAGTCCCTGCGGACTAGACTATATATTGCAAGTTTAGGCTGACGACTTTTAAGCCTCGCTGAAATCAGTCAGGTTTCCTGCCATCTAAATGTAGTGATTTTCCAGATTTATTAATTCCCCATAGGTGCTCTGGCTGATGTACCATAAGAATTGCATCAACATTAAAACTTGTAGGAAACAGACGGTGAAATAAGCAAAACATAAGGCGCAGGCAGCATTTAAACGCTTTCTTGTGGCCTGAGAGCAGAAGGAGAGCCAAAGTCAATGCAATATTTTTACAATGTTTTAAACTCTTTCTTGTGGACTGATAGCGAGGGAAAAGCCAAAGTAGGTGTAATATTTTTACAATGTTTTAAATGCTTTCTTGTGGCCTGATAGCAAGGGAAAAGCCGTAGTAGGTGCAATGTTTTTACAATGTTTTAAGCCCTTACTTGTGGACTGAGAGCACCAGGGAAGAGCCAAAGTAGGTGCAATTTTGTTTAGTGTGCAGAACTTTTGTCATATAAATATTGTTGTTTGACTTATAGTGACCCTATGAATGAGAGACCTCCAAGAGTCCTGCTCAGGTCTTGCAAACTCTGGACTGTGGCTTCCTAGACTGACTAAAGCCACCTACTGTGCATAATTTCCCTTTTTTCCCTACTCTTTTACCAAGCCTTGCCATCTTTCCTAATAAGTCACTTCATCTCATGATATGTCCAAAGTACGACAGCCTCAGCTTGGTCATCTTAGCTTCTAGCGAGAATTCAGGTTTGATTTGTTCTCATTTCTCTTTTTGGCTCTCCATGGTATTTCCACTGAGTTGATCTTCTTTTCGGCTTTCTACTCAAATCCGTGGATGCTCAAGTCCCATTAAATACAGTGGCATAATAAAATGGCGTCCTTTATATAGAATGGCAAAAATCATGGTTTGCTTTTGGGAATTTATATAGTATATTTTTTAAATATTTTCAAGCCGTAGATGCTCGAATCCATGGATAAATATCTGTGGACATGGAGGGCTGACGATATTATTCTCTTTTCCAGTTAGTCATGTCTTGTATTTTAATCCTGTTATAGTTTAATATATTTCTAAGGGATGGGTGGGTTAGGGAAGGGGTTGTTTGACTGTTTTAACTTGTAATGTTGTTTTAATTTGCTGTACGCCGCCTCTATTGCGCTGCAGAGAGGCGGCATAAAAATTATTATTATTATTATTATTATTATTATTATTATTATTATTATTATTATTATTATTATGTCTACTAATCATACGTCCAGCCTTTCTGCAAACCAGAGTTTGCTTTCTGCCAGCTTGGGAAATGCCATTTTCTAACCAATGTGGCACATGCTTGGAGGTAGCTGTGGTTCTCTTTTGCAATGGTCGATGCGTGAGTCTTTTTTCGGTGTTGTTTTAATCCCCCGAGGACCGATGATCCCCCTCCCCAAACTCTTGCCACCATGTGTCCAAGTGTGAAAGAGTGTGCCTTCTATTCAGCTGTCCTCCTTTGCGGAGCAGAGAGGTGGCATTTCACACCTTCCAGGCACAAGTCATGAATCCAATGTATCACCACCTTCCCTATTGCCTCTTACACTTTGGCCTGGCAAATGCATTGGGTTTGGGAGGAGAAAGAACAGGCCTGGGAAAGCCATTAAGGCCCTGCTGGGGGGGGGACAGAGAGGAGGAAGACAGCGCCGACCCTTTTGCAAAACTGGTTGGTTTTCCTTTAGTTTCTAAAGCAAGGCTGGGCAAAGTCCATGCGTGGCCCCTGAAACCCTCCCTCAGCCCTGTAATGGTTTGAACGTTGGACTATGACTCTGGAGACCAGGGTTCGATTCCCAGCTCAACCCTAGAAACCCACTGGGTGACCTTGGGCAAGTCACATTCTCTCAGCCTCAGGGAAAGGGAATGCCAAACCTCCTCTGAACAAACCTTGCCAAGAAAACCCCACAATAGGGTCTCTTGAAGACCTGAAGGCAAACCCCACAACGGCAAAGCCAAAGAATCAAGCAAATAAACAAAGCTCCATCCTATATGGATATCCTAAATCAGGGGTAGGCAACCTAAGGCCCGGGGGCCGGATGCGGCCCCCCGAGGCCTTTGGACCGGCCCCAGGCCGGTCCTGCTGCCGCCACCCCTGCCACTGCCCCCACCCGCCATGATGATATTGATTATTGTTGTTATTACTTGTTGTTGGGGTTTTCTTGGCAAAATCTCCACAGGGGTTTTGCCATGGCTTTTCTGGGGCTGAGAAAGTGTGCGTGCATATTTTTGTTTAATTTTTATTTGTAATTTGTATTTATTTATTTATTTATTTTTGGTGCTTTGGCCCCCCAATTGTCTGAGGGACAGCAACCCGGCCCCCGGCTCAAAAAGGTTGCCTACCCCTGTCCTAAATAAACCATGACAGATAAGTGGAACCTCCATAGTCGGAAGCAGTATATATGTATGCCAGGGGAAAAAAGCTAAAAATCAGCCTCCCTCAACCTGGCACCCTACAGAGAAGGCAACCAGCACTCCCATCATGCCCACTTGGCACAGCTGTCTGGGGATGATGGTACCTGCAGTCCAATCTCTGGAAGGCTCCCAGTTGAGGGATGCTGCTGGCATCTCCATCCTGTTTGCGATCTTCCCAGAAGCATTGGTCCAGCTTCTATTGGGACGACGTAGATCCATGTCCAATTTGGAAAATCTTTTCCAATGGATGGATCCAACTCAAGAGTGTAGCGAAACTCCATTTTGCCTCTATAATAAAATGCAGACATCTTGGGAAAGCAGCCAATTCCCCCTTTTCAACCGAGGCATTAAAAACGCTGGGCATCGCCTGGTGCCCTTTGCCATGCTGAGCTGTAAACAAACATTATTGCGGCATTAAGAAGGGAGGATGTCAAAATATTGGCACAGGAACCAAGAGGAGGGAGCAATTAATTCCTGAAAA